GTCGAACACTTCGTCCTACGCAGACATCTACCACGTTGACGTCATCATCACCAGAGTCGGTGGAGTTGCCTGCCATGTTTACTCTTCCAAGGATGTGCTGCTGGTGTGTTATCGATCTTCATGTCATCCTCTCCACGAGAAGGCGTCTTTCCCATAGGTAGAAAAACAATTTTGGTTTTTTTTTTGCTCAAAATGCCAAGAGGTACTTCTTGTGGTAGCAGGCGCTCCCCTCTACGGATTTGACCACTGGTATATGACGCCATTGGTGAAGTGATCGTTCGTGTTGCCTGATCACGAGGTTCATTTAATCCGTCAAACTCGACGCTTGTTCGCCTTCCAAAAATGTTTGAAAATGAGCAACTCAGCATTGGTGGTATGCTGGCTTGAATGTCACATATCAGCTACGTTACAACGTAGGCACCATTGCATTTCAAAAATCATTTAAAAAAGAACAGTGTGTAAATTTCGCGAGATTTGATTCGTGTAATTATTTGATTTGCCTTCCTAATTGTTAGTCCCAAATTACGCTTTTGTATTGACAGACATTACTGTAGAAAAAGAAAGGGACATTTGAAGCGAAGGTGACAGGGGCTTGGTTACTTGCCAACAAAATGAATCCGTTAATGGACACCCCAAGCCCACGACAACACCTCACAAACGTTTCGTCATCTGGTGTTAGCGCCGTCTGGTTTTCCTCTCAATGATGACTCATTAATTAGGGTGGAATGCGACGCAAGCTTGATCTGTGCTCTTAGGATGATCACCGTAGTCTGAGGTCACTTGGATAGAGTCACTAGTGGGCGATTCCGTAAACTATGATTGTAGGAGTGCCATAAGGCTCTCAAGTGAGTATTCCAAATCTGCTTGGTTTCTGGGCAAAAAAGGACTCTTTATATACGCAAAAAAATTTCATTAACAACGAAAGTTGTCACAAATTGGTCTTGGTGATTGTAGCTGAAGAAGAATCGGTGGGTTTATTTGCCACGCTGCAAATTTTCGCCTTGAACCGATACCAATTTAGGGCGTAGTCAAGGGTGACTTGAGCGTCAAAATATGCTGCAATGCCAGCAGCTGCTTCCCGAGCAGTTTGATAAATTCTGTCACACGGAGACATCGACGTAGCTGTCGTGGGCCACGGCTTCCTTGCAACGACACACACCCCACCCCACCCCGACGACTGCAAAGGTGTGGATTAGTTTGCAAAACACACGTGCTACTTAAAAAACCAGGTCGAGGGTTCTTGGTTGTGACATTGCTGGCACGGAAGGCGTGTGACTCGAAGGAAAAAAAACAAGCGCAGATTTAAATGCCAACTTTACCTACGTCCAGGTTACCAACCTTCAGGTCCGACCATTACGCGTTCCGCTGTAATGCGTGGTTTTGTGTGAACGCACTCGAAGGCACATATTTGTCACCCTCAGAGTAACGCTTGTTGCCTTGGCAACCCTCCCCTCTCCTAAATTACGGTCACCACTACTTTACCACCACTCACCCAACCACTGCGTTACTAATCTCATTCCAACCCAATCCTTTGCGACTCACCGCGAATTCTCAGTATTAGAAAAAACGCTTACTACGTGGCTCTCAGGTTGCTTCGAATTGCCGTTGACCTCACAAACTTTTTAAATCCCGGCTGTTTGAAGCCATGCGGTTACTGGTGTGGCTGAGATAAATGTGAATTGGTCTGTTTTCAGTAATTAGGAATGGGTTAGCAAAGTGAATGGATGCAGCCTCTTTAGACTAGAAGTCCGTATTGGGCTTGGTTTTTCTTCCAGTTCCTGGTACAAGGAAACTGTTAAAAGGGCTACAAACCAGGGGATGCGAGTTGTGGTCTCAAGGTGCGCCAAACTCGGTTCTTTTCCTGCCTTCTTACTGGGCACATTTGAGCCGTTGCTATGAAGCGATTAATTCCTGCGTTCCTGTTCTCTTTTCAGTATACCCTTTAAAATCTTGGTACGGGCGATTCCTAGTGACACGGTCATCACTTGGTAGTGAAGCATCTTGCCGCAAGCACGACTGACTGGCAATGTTCACGAACATGAAGTTTGACAAAGCACAAGAAAGTGTTGTCAGTCTGTTCCATTAGCGATTTGAAGCTCTGTGAATGGCTGGATGTGGTTCACATGTGGAAATAGATTGTTTTACTAAAATTTTTGTCAAAACTCAATGGCAGATTCATTTATAGTGTGGTCGACTCTTTCAATTACTACTGCTCTTTGCCTAAATGATATCGCCTCTGATAGAACAGGGGAAACTAACTGAAACATGGGGAAATCCAAAATAACATGATTTACAGGATGCCGCACGTAAAAAAATTAGCCATTTTTCGTGTTAAGTTGCAGGTGTCAGAAAGAGCGATGGTGATCCATTCAGATTTATTGAAAGCATGACTGACTCGAAGAAGGAGCAGATTCAACCCAACAATCTGTCAAAAATCATCGACATCATAATTGTGATATTGAAGGTTATATCGTGGAGTTTCGCGCCATCAAGTCAGAGGTGCTGTTAGACGAAAACGGGTGGTGATTTTTGTGAGGAGATGATGTTTGGAGAAATTAATTGTTGATACTGAATTCATAGTTAATTTTCACGATGAATCTGACAAATACAAACCCTGATATCGCTTTTTGGCCGGTACCAGGCATCGCGCTGTTTTAGCATCCACTTGAGTCTGATGCAAGTCCACCGTGGTCCCTTCCTGTAGGGTGCCTTAGCACGCCAAAGTGTTGTTGTTGATGATGATGATGACTGATCTGGGCGTTGGCATTGGCGATGTGAACCAGGTTAGCGCGCTGTTTCGGTGTTAAAAAGGGCAAAAGCACAGGTGCCAATTTGTGCGCCTCTCCGTCGGGGCTTCGTGTGTTGTTTGACTTTTTTCCACCCTCGTACACACGCACACACACACGGGCAGCAATTTTTTCAAACCCTACGCACGGACAGCTGGTTCGTCTTAGCAAATTAAAGGGCGACCGGCAAAGAAGTTGACGACTTAGTGCCCGGTGTATTGACTTGGTTTGGATTTCTGGACACTGCCTGTGCCATTGCCATTTACAACTTCGCTATCAAACTGAATATTCACCGTCAAAATTCGGTGATTGTAGTGGATTTCTTCACGCTAATGTCTTCATTAAAACGTGGAATTCTGCACGTCTAAAATGATGGCTACCTGATGGGACTTCTTTGGCTGAATCAACAACGCCACTTTCTCGTTCGATGCAGAAATCCTGATCGCCTGTCCTGTATGCCACTGCAGGAAAAGGATTTACCTTGGAGTTATTACGGAGAACCTATGCGATCGCTGGATCCTGGGTAATTTACGAATCACAAATCGCATTCTACACAAGATGCCCGAATGTAGGTGAAGTGAAGACTGCCTTCTGATTGGTAGATACAACCCTCCAAAAGAAGTTCAGCCCTGCCAAAATTCAGTCGCTTTGTCTGTACACGCGAAAGCAATTAGGCGCGACGAGAAAAAGCAGCCCGCAGTCTCCAGATCGTGCCAAGTCACCGTGTCTACTCAGCCTTGGTGCAAAAAGTCCACCGAGCCTGTCTGGATTTTACGCCGGACTTCGATCACACACACACGAACACACACACACGCACACACGAGTGTGTGCTGCTTTGGTCACAGTTTTGCCAACTTCGTGAAAGAGTGGGCTGGATTAGCTTGAGAGGAGCGCGCACCTAAATACACACTTGATTGTACTTGGACTTATTCCTAACGAGCATCTGGTGCTACTAAATCGTGAATTACACTCCTAATAGGTCAGATTTATCAAGAAAATTAAATCTGAGCTAAAAAAAGTAATGCAGCGATTAGGTCTTCAAATCCCTTCAAAAAACCGCCTGTATTCATCCTACTGTGCCTCTGATTTAAACGCCACGGAACTTCACAAGATAACCCCCAACATCTCTGTCTTTATGTCAAACTAAGTCCTCTCAATGTGCTGGTTGCGCACACCTGTGATTCGATTCAACGTAATTTTTTCAAGACAGAATTCGGTTCTGTTACCCTAATCAGTCTCATGAAATCGCCGATAAACTAGCCAATCGCCTCGATGTATTTTTGAACCAGAGACTGTTCTATCTTCCTTCTCTTCATCTAGCTGGCGAAGGCAGATGAACTATTGATTACCAATTCGTGCGTCGTAGTTCCAGTAAATCTGAAATGGAATGCCATCATTTTCAAGTTAGGTTAACACGAATGCAAATTGATGGATGTAAAGAATTTAATTGAAGGGCTTACAGCATTATTTTGGGGGAATGCATCCATTATTCTCAATGCACACAAACTGCATTTCCTTAATTTAGAACTATGAAGGATTGAGCTGCTCTTCGCCCAGAAATCTGCGTAATATTTCTGAGAAATTCCTACTTCTTCACCCTTCGAATATTCGTGGATTTCACGCAATTCAGGATTCAGCACGCTGCGTAGCGCTATAATTGTGGCATACATTGATGCGGTAGTGAGCTACATTAGGTCGCTGTGTGACTAACACACAGCGGCAGTGGCATTTGTGATGGCTTTAATTGGAGACGCATAATTAACTTAAATTCCAAATGGAAAGATCCCTCCATTATACTTGGGAGCTTATCGGAAAATGACAATTAAACGAATCCCACAGCCAACACGATTTCTTGCCATCTCCCTAGCAGGTGTCATCAGTCAACGATTTATCACTCCATGCGTACGAATTTTGCGAGCTTAGTACGCGCGTACCTGATTCGCGGTGGCTAGACAGGCTGGCTCGGACGCACGAATGCCGCCTGTCCGTCCATCGCTCCTCCTCCTCTACCGCCTCCTCGGCCGGCACACAGCGCAGGTATGACCTTGAGGTGGTGTGTGTGTGCGTGCGTGCGTAAGGACGTGCGCACGCGAGTCGCCTGCCGACCACATATATAAGGCGCCCTGCCAGCCACTTTTTCCCAGCTCGTGCGAATCAATTGTCGTTTGCTTCTTGTCCCTGCACCACACACACACACACACCCGAACGCACACGATGTGGATGCAGGAGTGCGTTGACTGCCCACTGGCTCAGACCAGCCTCCAATCGTGGATACGCCACCTCACCGACGTCCATGCCCTCCCTACCGAGTGGCCCAGCGAGAGGGCTGCCCGCTTGACCGGGGCCACAGCTTCCAAGCCATACACGACGATCACGGAATCGAAGAAACGACGCCGGAAAGACTCCGTTCCTAGGCCTCTCAACAGTTTTATGGTGAGTTTTCGAGTCCTTTTGATGCCCGCCGTTAGAGGTCTGTAAGAGCAGGGAATTGGCTACTTTCTCGCTCAAAACGCACCTTTTCCTTTTCGAGATTATCTGGAAGCTCAGCTAATCCCACATTATGAAATTCAGGCGTGTGCTTAAACGACTCGAGGAATTTTAAGCAAAAGGGACCAATAAATGCGGTGGTTTTCGGCTCGTTTCGCGGTCTGCGTCCTCATGGATAGTACATCATATCTTATTTTGAAAGTCGGGTGTTTATTTCTTTGCTGACAATCTTGGCAGACGATCTGCTTTTGTACTTTCACTACCTCCTCCATTCTAAGGCCGCGGTTTGATTGGCTTGCGGGTTTAGCTCCCGCGCCAATGTCCGCGAAGCACTAAATGGATAAATTTGGGAATGTCCCCATTATCTAGACGCTTGCCTCCTCATCACTGAGTGCCCATTGGTTAAGCCCACGAATCTAAGAGGCAGTTTTAGTAAACAAAATCAGTTTATGGCTGCGTCGCCTAGGCATACGGAAAATGGCGATGTTTTCGTCAAAACGACGCATCTTGCTTAATCGAGCGTGTAACCGTGTAGGCATTTGGGCACGCTAATCAGTTGACGGGAAACTAGATTCGCCAACGCACGAATTGTGACTTATCCGCGTGTCTCTCGTTCACCGCAACCACACCAATCTGTCCGAAGACTCCTAGTTGATTTCGCCTTGAGCTTCAAGCCACCGCAGTCCAAAGAATAAACCACTTAGCATGCAGCACTCGTGAAATCATGGAAGAAGTTTTTATTAATTGAGGAATTCCGTGAATCCTAAGGTGACCGCTAACGCGACATGACCTTCGTCTGTGATAAACAAAAGGCGGTCAAATTCACGCTCCTCGTTCCCTATTTTTTTCTTTTCTGCGCTAGTTTTCAGGTGTACTTTCCGAACACATGCGTGGATGTAAGTACGGCCAGGTGGCCGATGCTAATTACATGTCTTCCGTTTACGGCCAGTCAATCCTCATGTCCTCTTTTGACCAGCACGTTGAAGTTCCGTCAAGTCTAGTAGTACCGAAGACGAATAAAGCAAGTTGATTTGCGCACTGGCCGGCGACCGCATAAACGTCCTGGAGATGGTCTGGTTCAACCAGTCGAGTAACTCAGGTTTCCATTCTGCCGTTTTTTTGGTTTGGGACATAAATAATGCTTTCCCCTTAGACAGAGTGCCTGGTCATTATTGGGGGTTCGAATCAAAGACGCGGGGTGCACCAAAAGCAGGTGTACTTAATGGTGTTCCAGCGGTTCAAACTAGATTACCCTGATATGTTTACATCGCCCCCTGTCTGTAATCTACGACCTCAAAATAGCTCTAGTGGGCCGTGGTGGGGGTGGCATTCATCGACCACACTAGTTTAATCTGTGTCCACAGGCATCGTAAAGCATGACTTCTGCGTGGAACACTCACTCTGTTTACATTTTTTCACGGTCTTGAAGTTAAGCGGAGAGTTTTACAACCTGACCACACTGCCTCTGTCACCACATCCCTGCTTTATTGTGTTCCACGTTGTGAATACGTGGAGTTAGTGTGTCATGGCTGAAATTGCGCGCCAGAAGAACGGTCTGGAAATGAGGCTTCACCGCTAGAGAGTTGCTGTAAGTCAGGAACAAGTAGTGGGTTTCTCCATCGAGTGGGCAAGTGTTGTGGTCGCGAATTCCCTCTGGGATTTGCAGGCACGGGTAGTTTCTGGACAAATTGCACTCGATTTGTCCAGACAAACTTGCCTAATCCGTGTTTTCGAGTTTTGTTGGAATGCAGAATAATCTCAATTTATTAACGTTCACTCCTACTCCCTGAATAATGCGGCGGTTGTCATCAGCATTGCTGTCCCCACCAGCGCGCTTATTGGTTGCTTGAAGCGAGCTCACGTCACTCCCGCGCTGGTGATTGGTCCACACAAATACGTCCACCTTGATCGCATCTGACTAGTTTTCTAAACCTAAGTTACACCAACCTTGAAATGCTCACATTCGGATATTCGAAATAGCTGGTCGCGCGAGATTTGCCTCATTTACGGGGCCTTCTTTGCGATAGGACGTCGTGTGGGTGAGGGCACCGTTTAATTGCTGATTCCGAGCGAGTTGATACCATGTCCCCATTGAGAACAAAGTGTGTGCATACTCTTTTGGTTGGTTGCCTCGTTTGCCGCAAAGCCGTGACTCAGAATCGTGCATTTAGTCGTGGCAAACGGCGATCCCCACACCCTCTCCCTCTGAGAATTTTTTTATCTAAACTAGTGCGCGCCGCGTCTGACTCAGAGTGCGCACGTGGGCTAAAGAAAAAACCCAGTAAAAATCCAGGCCGCAGTTTCTAATTTTGCATAACCTTCCTCCCTCTCTCTCTGTCCACAATCAGCCAATCGCCGGCAGCTCTCGGCGGGTACGCAAGCGTGCCTGCCGGAAGAGATTTGAGACCTCTCGTGTGTGTGTGTGTCAGCCTGGGAAGACAGCCAACGTGTGTGTGTGTTGAAAACCAATCTTACCCAGTGCGCGCACCTCTCCCAGTGCATTTTCGATGCGTACGAAGCTGAGATGTGATTTTCACCTTCTTAGCTTTAAAATATGTGCCCAGGTCTCGTACTCGAGGTCCATTTGACGCATCCAGACGAAAAGTGCCACAAATTTTGGTTCTAGAGTGTGTCCGTGTGTGTTTACGAGTGTATTTTGGATTACGTTTTGCCTGCTCTCTAGCTGTTTGCTCAACACATCCGCCGCAACGTCCTCCGCGTGCACAACGAGGCATCAAACTCGGTCTTGAGTCAACAATTGGGGATTGTGTGGCGATCGGTTCCGCGCGTTGTTAAAAATAGGTACGATGATGAGGCGGCAAAGCTAGTCAAGATTCATCAGCTCGAATTTCCAAACTACAAATATCAGCCGAAGAAGCGTAGCGGACTCGGCGATGCCTCTAGCTCGGCGCCCGTTGTTGCCAGCGATGCTAGTCCCTCTCAGAAGTTGGCCGCCTCTAGGGGTTATTCACCGGAGCCGTGGCAACAGCGCTGTGGCCTCACCGATTCGGCGTACTCCTCGCGCAAGAACAGCTGCGCCTCTTCCTCCGCGTCTTCGCCCCAAGTGACGGAGTTCTCTTCCACGCCAGTGAAGCAGTTGTTCCATCCCTTCCGACGCGTACTCTTTGACGACCAGCGGCCGCACGTTCGCCAGCGCTTCGCGTCTGCGACAAACGGCACCATGACGGCGGCGGCGGCGGCACCGGCAATCCCTCGACAGGCCCGTCCAGCCTCGTGCCTTCTGAACCCGGCCACCGCACGAGTTCTCAAACGGGAACACGAGCCCCTCAAGAACCAACAGTCCCACGACCAAACGCCCACTCTCTATGCCAACATCAGCGTCAGTTCGAGCCCCAAGCGTCGGCCGATATCATTTCTGAGCGCGGAGTCAAGCGTCCTCTCGCTTCCGGAGTTGGTGAACATGCCTTCCCATGAGGTGACCCTTCTGGGTGAACGCCCCTGGCAACGGGGGGACGAAGAAGAGGAGGACTTTTCGTACTTCGAGAGCGCCACTGAGTCGGAGTCGATTTTATCCGAGGAAAATGCGATGTTTGAGGACTCCGCATCGATGATGGATCTGGCAGACTTCCTGCCGGGCGCCGAGGAGCTGATACTGGGTGTTGAACCGCTTGCTTCAGGGACGCTGTCGCCAGACCTCGAGATGCTAGATAAGAATGAGCTGCTGAAAATCTAGTCGCGCGCATCGTCCACTTCTCAACGCGTTTTCGTCTTTCAAGTGGTTTTCTCCTTGTCCTTATCTTCCTTCTCGACTTCACAGAACCGCACTCCATGGGCGTAAGGACATGCGCGCATTTTGGTAATTCTCGTATTTAAACAAACGGTATTTTGATAAATTATTTCTCTAAGGGAGAGTCTCCCTTGTCCCTTTCTTTCTTCTGTTACAACCAATACTGCAACTACTACTACTATTATGCGGCATCAGGGACTTACGTGTTGTTACTCAAACATGCCGCACTTTCCAACTCTGTACCTCGCCAAGTTTTATCACACTTTTGGTCCGCCTGTGGTAATTTGAACTTTTCTAACCATCACTCGTTCTCTTTTCTGCTGATTCCAAGGGGCGAAGAAAGCGTTTTTTTTTCGGCGTTAGCACCTAATGGGCCTCGAATGTTCTTGTCATTCCGTCACGCCTTTCGCACAGGGCCTGGCATTTAGGCTTACCACAAGTTGTAGTAATCGGCTGTAAGTCATCATGGCAATCAGAAGTTATACAGACCCAAAACCCCAGTTTACTTCGTGGCTATTGGTGCTGATGTCACGAAATTGAAGGGATAACTTTTTGTGCGTGGGAAACACAGCAGTGCCCTGCCATTACCTCGAAACTGACGGAGTAAAAGGTAATTAGGTTTTGTTGTAGACACAGGGCTCCGGTGGGGACAATTTTACTGTCACAGCGAATGCGGGTGCGTGCACGTCGAAGCTGTCGCGGTTCGGGTAAGTGACAGCTTCATTCGGACCACGGTCCCGTAGCTTGTCGGCGACATCATTGATGACTCATGTGGATTGGCTGAATGGCAAAGTCGTAACCCAACTGCCTGTCCGCCATGTCTGTGTAAGTTTTCTCACCAATGCCCTTAATCCATTGGCTCACCAGAAAATGGATTCGTGTCGTTTGTGTGTGTGTGTGTGCACGCAGCGACGCAGGTCTCACCAAACCGGGTTCCCAAGGTCCTGGGTATGTCGGATTAAACCAAAAGTTATGGAAGGTGTCTACGTGAGGAGGCAGGAAGCCCAAACGTGTTTCAAAGTGGACTAACTCAAGGGGCTAGTCGTTAACGCGTCACGGATGAACCACTTGGTAGGGGGTGAGTGCCGTTGAGTTGGAGGTTGACTGACGCGTTTCAAGGATTCCCGAGCTCTGAGCTGGAGTGACTGAGTCTCCATGGTTGGTTCCAGCTAGTAAAGGCCCAAGGAACACGAGTCGTGCACACAAGAAGTGCTGTCACTAGTCATCAACTGTTGTTTTGCCAGGGCCTAGTGACAAACGAATGCCAGTCAGCCAATCCTGATAGGATCTGGGCGGAGGATGTTGTACTTTTTGCGCGCCGCGCAAATTTTGCCCTGCGGACGATGTCCGCCCCACGTTCTCACTTGCTTGCATGAATCAATCGCAACGCGAGTCACTGTCAAGGTCAACCAAGCTGGAATGTGGCATTGGTAATCGATTGACGCTGTCTCGAGTGTGCGCTTAGTCTAGACGACGCAAACCCAACCTGCCACTCCAAATCATCACCATAGATTTGTGTGTAATTAAAGCTTTAACTTTAGACGGCAATTTAGTTTGCATCCAAACAAAGACAAATTGTGTTAGCGTGCGCATTTGTGGAACACAATTCTTCACAAAGTCATCATTGCCAATGGTATGGGGAGATACTGGCAGCCATAAGTTGTCTAAAGTATTCCAGGGATAACGCATGGTCGAATTGGTTTGTAGACACGGGCTTCATGTCTAATTTGCACGGGAGTTTTTTCTCAGGCTTAGGAGGAAGCCGGCTACATGTAAGGTGCTCGAAAGCAAGGCTCGAAAATGGGAGGTGGAATTTTTTTGCGCTCAGCGCATCGCTGGGGCACCAGATGGTATTAGCCACCACAATGACGCCGGTAGTGGGCTTTTGCGCATGACTCAACCAAAACACACCAAATAAGGCCAACACGCCACCTCAAGGTCAGTGGAACGCGTGCGTGCGCACGCGCGCACGCGCATACTCGCCAGTGCGGAATGGGTGTAATTTCGAGGCCTTAGCCGTATGTTTGCAATAATTTAGGCAGACATTCCGAACCCGATTTAGGGAGTTTGATTTAAACTTGGCATGAATTTAGAATATTTGCCGTCTGGAGTGTGTCCGATTAAACGTGGAAGAAGCAGAACTATGAATTATGTGGTAATGCATGAAGTGTCTAATAGCAAAATGAACCAGTCACTGCATAAAAATCAATAATTCACCTTTGAAGTGAAGTCCGATGATTGGTCGTTTGGGCGCATAATATGGTGAAAAAATTGGTCAATAAAATCACTGTTAGATTGCACGTTAATTGCAACAGATTCAAGGGGAATTAGGCGTTGTATAAGCACGCCACCAATTTCTTTCGTTTAGCCGGTTCGTTACTACGTCAAGGGGTAACCAACACCAAATTTGGGCTCTTTAAGTTCTCTAAAATTTAATTACACCAATAAGTGCAGAATTCGCGAGGATCCAAAATCACATTCACGAGAATTCAACCAATGGTGGGTCACTTTAGCACCATTTGGAGCAGGTGTACAAATATGGACAACGAACATGAAAAAAACAAAGTAACGTTAAAACACATGAAATCGTTGTGGAGTGGCTGCTGGATCGGAATGAATGACAAAAATCGGCCATGCAAGTGTTTAATTTTCCTGCATATGAAATGACCTGGTTAGAGATTACTGGTTCTTTAAGGGCACCATAATTTTACCTAGAACAGGTAATTATTTCGACATTTCTACAAGTTTATCCTGTGTAAGTGTGCACACACACACACACTGTTTCCACTGTCCCAGTTGACGTTTCTTCATTCCCGAAGAAAAACTCTCAATGAAACAGCTGACATTTGACATTTCAACCGTTTCTAAATCAGGGAAGAGAGACGAGTTTTTTTTATGGGATTGTGCAGTAGCAAAGCAAAAGGTAACTGAGATTGGCGAGTGGAGAAGGACAGTAGAAATGTGTTTGCGTGTCGTTAAAGCGGCGCCGCATTTGACCCTGAATTGACCATTGAGTAAGAATTATGCATACGACGCTAGCTTCGTTGCTACTAGATCGCGATTGACCAATTTAATGACAGTTTGAAAGCCCCAAAAACTCATTTTACACGGTAAACCACCTTCTAATCGGCGGCTGTAGTCAAGGTAACGACTTAATTCAGAGTTAGTGCTAGGTTAAATTGGTGTATGTAATTTTCCCTCTTGTGTTCGTCTTAACAGTTCGCGAACAACTGTCCACAAGGTCCAAATCGCTGCAGAAAATTAATATCTCCATCGGGTCGCATTGGCGTTGACCAATTGGCTGGGAGGTGTCAGGGGCGCTAGCAACACGCAAATTGGGCAGAACGACTGCTACAGGCCTCACAGCGTGTGTGCGTGTTGACGCAACAACACAACTAGTCAGTATTTAAATCCCGCGTTGAAAGGCATCGGAGAGTCTTTGTGAACTTAAGGATTTTGGGAGCGGGTTGAAAACATTTAAAATGTGAAGGGTGAGAAGAATGCTCAAGTGTGGTTACTTTGGTCTAACACTTGCTAAACTGGAGCTTTTTTATTTGTGAGTGCCAGGCTGCTCTCTTTAGAACGTCCACAAGTCAAACGAAGCACTGAAATCCCAGTGTTGCCTGCATTCTGCATGCAATAAAGCAGACACTGGTGGTAAAGTTGGTTAGATAGTGTGGTCTACAGCTTTCCAAAAAGACACGGGGTCTAATTGCGAAAAAAACAGACTGTGGGCTGCAATTGCAGACAGTGAACCAGACACACACACACACACGAGAGGAGTGTGAGATTTCCGAGAAAAGGGTGACGCCGTGCATCAGCTGCCTACTGTCTGGTGTCTCACAGAAACACACCATGTGACCCGGTTTCCAGGACGACTCGGCTGAATAGGGGTCGGGTCTAGAACACGGGAAGATTTTGCGCCGTCATCCACGCTCTGAACGGAATTTAGCAGGCGCCAACCTCACCCGCGTGACTCATCACGTGGGTAGCTATTTCAGATGATCAGCGATCAGGTAAAGCCGAGGTGACCTCTCACCAAGTGTTCATGCTGATAATTGCCGGTTTAAAACCAACCCTAGCCAGACACGTCAATGCCCAGCAAATAACTTTTAATGTTTCACGAGGTGCTTCACTTAGTCGCGGTGTTGAAAAATGGGAAAAATGTTCCAGGATTTGGCCTCAATTTTCGCTGAATTAAAACGAGACGCAAAGCAGTTGTAGTTGTGCCCCACATGTGACTGACACACACCACCTGTTGCCTGTCTGGTCCCTTCTCTCGACAACATGTAGGAGTCCGGTTTGAGACGGGTGTTCCAGCACTGGACCACTTTTAAGGGAACGCATTACGAAAGCACAAAAATCGACACGGCCGATGGTGTTAGTTGGGGATGTTGCTGATCGAGTCACGGCGTAATGTTCCGGCTCGTTGTGCGTAAAAAAAGCATAAATGTTCCAAGAAATTCGTAAATTTGTATAGGGTTGCCACGTTTTTACAGGGAACAAACAATAGCTTTAATAATTCTTTAATTATAGGACATTAGTAACGAAAAAATTTGGTCCTGTGTAAGTGTGTACACACACACATTGTTTCCACTGGCCCAGTTGACGTTTCTTCATTCCCGAAGAAAAACTCGCGATGAAACAGCTGACATTTGACATTTCAACCGTTTCTGAATTAAAGAAGGTAGACGAGTTTTTTATGGGATTGTGCAGTAGCAAAGGAAAAGGTAACTGAGATTGGCGAGTGGAGATGGACCGTAGAAATGTGTTTTCGTGTCGTTAAAGCGGCGCCGCATTTGACAGTTTGACCTGGCGCTAAAGTAACCAATGGAAGTGAGATGTACATTATTTTGCCTTAACGCAATCGATTAGAGTTTCTGCATGAGTAGTCAGTCGAACATCAAGGGTCCCACGAAATTCACATTTTCGCGAAATTTTACCTG